ACATCAGACTCGTTCATAAATCTAAAGCCTGACTTGACTGCAACTGAATAAAAACACAAAACAAAACTATGTTCATTTTAGATTCATTCAGTATTTGTGTATTCTTTTAAGATATGTTGCTATAGTCATGTGATAAATAGCTTTCATAGGACTCTAGGCAATCATTTGAAAAACTACCTTTACTATTCCCATAGGAATTAAGAGGGTAAGTAGCAGCCGGGTGCTGCTAATCAAATGCACTTAATTAAAGGATCATCAGCAAGTGTAGCTTTCTCTATTAAAGCAGATTTTTTTGGCAGTTTGCTTGTCTGAAGTATTTATACAGTGCTAGAAGTTTCACAGGAGTGAATGCCCCAGCAAATTCACCCCAAGGTCAGGCTACATCTCAGGCTCTACAGGCCTCAGCGTGTTAAATATGAAAGCTGATGAAGGTACAAAAGAAGCTGGACAACTGTTGTTGTGATTTGGCGCTGTATAAATAAAATTGAAATATGAAAGTAGACTTGTCACCTCATTACTGAAAAACCTTTGACAGGATGGAGAACATTTAAAAATTACTGCCAAAACTTTTAAAATTAACGGGCATTTCTTTAAATAAAATAAAATAAAGATGAGAACAATACTAGTCCTTGTAAGTGTATTCACCTACATCTATAATTATTTCCTGTGCTTCTGGTTACCATGTTTTTGCTGTTGATCAAATAGAGGTAGGCTTCCACTGTTTCAGGGTAGTTGCTGACAGACCTCTCTCAGCTTCATTCTGAGACTTAAAAAAAAAAAAAAATATAGCATTAACACTGCCTATTAACATTACCGATGGGCAGGACTGACATTTGCTGCCTAACTCCCACATTAACCATATCATTTTATAAGCTGCTACCTGAATAATAACAGGCTGCTAATGTGGCTATCAGGTAATTGCCAATTGTAAAATGGACATTATTAAATATATTAAATTTATATTCATATTTCAATGCTGTTTAAAAAGGAGCCTCAAAAAATTCCTCATAAAGACCTGGGTGTTTGGCTTTAAGAAACCTTAAGGATCTGAGTATCAATTTCTTTTGGAGAAAACCTCTTCTCCCTACAAGGAACATAGCAGAACAGCTTATGTTAGCAAATTTGTATCTGAATAAAGCACAAGATGTCTGGAACAATTTCCTTTTGAAGAGGTGATAACAGAGTGAAGATGTTAGGTCACAATGCACAACACCTTGTACCAGCTGTCAAAGCATGGTAGTGGGGTGATAATTTGGACATGGCTTTTCAGAATGGGTGGAAAGAAAAGAATGAAGCTGTTGCAATCATTGAAAGTCCAGACCGCATCCTTAAGAGAGCTGTGCATAAACAAGGAAGAGTCCTATGAAAGTGTTATTTGATAAGCAGAAAAATAAACAATTTGTTTTTGCTCTTTATTCTTTTAATCCCATCAACCCCAGGCTTTTGCTTTTAAGGTTTGAAACCACATGTTAAATTAGTCAGTGATTTTTTTTTTTTTTTCATAAATAAGGTTTAAGTTCAATTCAACATAATGTTTTAAATGTAGTACTAATATTATACTCTTCCATCCAGCATCCATGCCTGATGTGAACTTTAAGTGACTCTGTGTCTTTCAGATCTTTGCTACAGGCGTGTGTCATACAGATGCCTACACGCTGAGTGGCAGTGACCCTGAGGGGCTTTTCCCTGTCATCTTGGGACACGAGGGTGCTGGAACAGTTGAAAGTGTTGGCGAAGGTGTTACCAAGTTCAAGCCAGGTAAACAACTGCCAAACAAAACATTAAAACTTTAATATTTTACTTCTTGGTATACTTAGGAATAAATATTTGTTGCATGTGGGTTGTTTTTGTCTTGTTCTTTTTCCAAGGTGATACTGTCATCCCGTTGTATGTGCCTCAGTGTGGTGAATGCAAATTCTGCAAAAACCCCAAGACTAACCTTTGCCAGAAAATTAGGTAATGTATGAAGGCCTATTTATGTAACCTTGAGGTGCTGAAGTCTACTTTTGTGATAACAATTTCATTAAAGAAAGATGCCCCACCACAGGGCAACAAAAGCTCAGTCAGAACCTATTATGTTTTCTTTGCACATTTCATCATGCTAATCTGCACATTTCCTTCCCCCTTCACCCTGCAGAGTAACCCAGGGTCAGGGTCTGCTTCCTGATAAGACATCACGCTTTACTTGCAAGGGAAAGCAAGTGTATCACTTCATGGGGACCAGCACCTTTTCTGAGTACACTGTAGTGGCTGACATCTCTCTGGCCAAGGTGAATGAGAAGGCTCCGCTGGATAAAGTGTGCCTTCTCGGATGTGGCATTTCTACAGGATATGGTGCTGCTCTTAATACTGCCAAGGTGGGTATGACATGACGCTGCTCATCTGCAAAGACATCGTGCAAAACATTAGATTTCATTGGAATATTTACAATCTTTTTACATGTTTGTCGCAGTCTCACCTATAGAGTAATAAGAAAATAGTTGATAGATTCTTTTTTCTTAATTTGCAGTTTCACGCAAATAGTTTTTGATGTGCTAGCAGGTCCTTCAATTTTAAATGATGTATTCAGGTCTTTACAGAAAGAATAATAAAGGAGGCAACTGTTAAGATCCATGTTTCAATTATCGTGTGTTTTTTACACACACACACACACACACACACACACAAAAAAACTTAAATAAAAGCAAGAACACAATACGTAGGCCAAATACTAGTAGGCCAAATCTATTTTAGAGTTCATACTTGGATTATTGTTTATATGGTTATTTATCATGTAGGCACAACACTTAAACTTTCACATTTGTATTCTACCTCATGCTCACTCAGGTTGAACCTGGTTCCACATGTGCTGTGTTTGGCCTTGGAGCTGTGGGCTTGGCCGTTATAATGGGCTGCAAGGCTGCCGGAGCAACCAGGATCATCGGTGTGGACATCAACCCTGATAAGTTTGAAAAAGCCAAGGAGTTTGGAGCCACTGAATTTGTAAACCCAAAGGACCACAGCAAGCCAATCCAGGAGGTTCTGGTGGAGATGACTGATGGGGGTGTGGACTACTCATTTGAGTGCATTGGAAATGTGCAAATTATGGTGAGACTCAGGCCCACCAGCATGCATGACCCGCATGCATGCTAGAAAGATGTGTGAAAAAACAGTGCACATTAGAATTCAATTTGTATAGCACTGTGGTGTAACTTTGTAAGTAGTGTACAAGGTAAGTTTAAAAAAACAACAACATTTATTTATTGTTGTTTGGGTTTTTTTGTGTGTGTCAGAGAGCTGCTCTGGAGGCATGCCACAAAGGTTGGGGTGAAAGTGTCATCATTGGTGTAGCTGGAGCTGGACAGGAGATCTCCACCAGACCATTCCAGCTGGTGACAGGTCGCGTGTGGAGAGGCACAGCCTTTGGAGGTAACGGCCTGAGTTAAAGAATTTATTTTAAAGTGCTTAATATTATCTGGCTGCAGCTTTCGTCTTTATTTTGTGTATTTTTTATAAGCATAACCTTTTATTAAGTGGAGTCAGATAGGACACATTGTTTTGTAATGAAAACACAATTTATAATGGTATTTTATGAGCCTTATTGTTGTTGGCTAATGTGAAAACTGGAATGCATATGCTGTTTTCAAACCCATAGATTCAGCATGTTAAGTTTTGTAGCTTCTTTTAGTTGTATTAAGACCTATTATTTATCTATTTTATCTATGTAATTGGTGCTTTGCCTCAACACTTTCAGTAAAATGGTTCAGTCATGCCTTACTGATGTTGGCAGTTGTAAAACTGGTTTTGTTGTTCACCCTCAGGGTGGAAGAGTGTGGAGAGTGTTCCTAAACTGGTGGAAGATTACATGAGTAAGAAGCTGAAGGTGGATGAGTTTGTAACCCACACACTGCCCTTTGAGAAGATCAATGAGGGATTTGACCTCATGCATGCTGGAAAGAGGTGTGGAAAAACAGTGCACATTAGAATTCAATTTATAGAAGTGGCTCTGTAGTGAATGTATTTTGTTGTTGAACTGCAGTGCCTTGCATCCTTAGCCTAACTTTCTTTTTTTTTTTCCCCTTCTCATTGCAGTATCCGCACAGTGTTGACTTTCTGAAGTGCCTGAAAGAAAAATCCTTCACATCCAGCCTTTAAAGAGTCTCCTGCCATAGTTAAAGCACTTGTTTTGATAGTGTACTTTTGACTGTTAGATGTTTTTACTAACAGTAAGATATGTTTGACTGATCCATTTCAATTAAAATCTCTGTAAAACCAAAGGTTTCTGCTTTTCTGTTGGTTGTTGGCTGCTCTTGAGCAGTGTCTTTCAGTGACATTTAGTTGGTTAATATCAAGATGGCAATATTTAATCATTAATTTACATAAAGGCACCAATATTTGTTATATTTTGGAAGCACCTGTTAGATAATACCACAGTGAAATAAATTAATAATTAAGAATGCTGCTTACATACTGCAATATGGTCTCACAGGTCACTCACACATATTTCCAGTTCTTGTGTATCATATAATGGACAATGGACATCATACTTTTTCCTATACAGGTACAAAATGAATTTAAAAAATTGCCTTTGCGATATTCTAATGTCATGTGCATCAGGGTCTGTATAAACTGACAGGCTGTTTGGGTCAGAGGCATGCATAGTCGAATAGTAACACACTGGCTTCGCAATTACAAATACAAGAACAAATAAATATATATATACACACACACACTTTCCTAAATGCAACAACACATTTTAGGAATAATTGTCCATATCAAACTGTTATTTAGAAAAGCATCGACAAGTTCCCACTGCTACAGTGAAATATTCAGTCTTAACCATAAGATGATTCTCAGTTTTCGCGTAATGTACATAATTATTATGAATACAGTTTATTCAGTGCGTTCGTATCACTTCAGAGTTTTTTTCCACTAACCACTGTCCACGCAATCAAACCTGAAGGAGGATGACGTTTTTCCCCCTCACACGTTGAACCAATATTTAATTTTGTACGTATTTTCTTGCGCATGCGTGTTGTGCTTACCATACGACCCAATCCAAGCTATTTTAACACACGGCGAAAAACTCAAAGTGATTTCCAGAAGATGGCGACCGCACTGGTGGTGAGTCCCTTTGCTAGAATAGGTTATATGTGGTTCTTTATCTTTCAAACAGCACGTTTATGGAGTATTTAATTAACCAGCGGTAAAAGACAACTAGGCGACAGTTTAGTCTAAATAATCGAGAGTCTGAGAAATCTTGTAAACTTTACCTCTGACAGGTAACAGAACTCGCTAGCCAAGCAACTTAGCGTAGTAAATTATAGCCAGTTGTTTTTAAAATCTTAATATCAGCAATATTGCTTGTAAGACCATTTACAGTAACTGTTTTTAAAGTATCGTTTACGCCGGGTTAACACTGCGTTGACTGGGTATATGCCCCGGTCGGTGCCCTGAGTTGAACTCAGATACTTGTATGAATGAGAGGACACCGGTAACGACTCTCGTGGGTCCCAGCTAACGTTAGCTGGAAACCAAATATTGGTCAGTGTGGGGAAATGTGTTTAAGAATGAGCTAGACATCTTCTCTATAATGCAATTTAAAGTGGCAAACGATAATAAATGCTACCCTTCGAGAAAACCTATTTCTTTTCTCAAGTTTGCTACAAGTCTGTAGATTCAAGCCATTTTACGTCAGCATGGTTCCACGGGGAGGTGGAGCATTCAACAGGGCTAAAGAGGCCCTAAACATGTAGACACGATAGCATAATGTGGCATGGGTTGAAACGATAAAATATCGTAAGACGTTAAATTACTAAACCTCTCAGACACCGTGTGCACACACTTGGTTATAATCATTAAAATACCAAAACAACTTGCACTTCTTTTTCTTCTAGGTGTCAAATTCCGTTCCTGCAAATGGTGAAACTGAGAAATGTGAAACAGCTGTTCAGAAGGTTGTGAATCCTGAAACGTACATCAAACACCCACTACAAAACAGGTAAGCATTTATCCACTTCTGTCTTTTCTTGTAGAAGTATAAATCGATACAGCTTATAACATTGATGTATCATTCTACCTTATGTATAACAGTTGCAAAAATACTGAAGACAGTTAAACTGTTATATTCCAGTAGTGTGAGTCTCCTTAAATGAATTTTTGCTGTTATATAGTATGTGTGAGGTGGTAAAAGTTTGCAAATTTTTCTTCACTACCAACCTGACAAATGTAGACAACACGTGGTCATACTCTGTAGTAAGACGTTTGTTTGTTTGTTTTTCCCAGGTGGGCTCTTTGGTTTTTCAAGAATGACAAAAGCAAAACGTGGCAAGCCAACCTTCGTCTCATCTCCAAATTTGACACTGTGGAGGACTTCTGGGCGTACGTTTTTGTTACTTGTTGAGTTCATGCCGCTCTGTATCATAGACTTGTATGCAAAGCTAGAATTATAGTATGGATGGGTTTCTGGTTTTTGTTTTTGTTTTTTGAGCAAAAATGTTGATGATAATTCCTGTTTGTGTTGGTGTGTTTCAATGAAATTCAAATTGGCCTATTCGTTGAGGAGAGGTTGCATGTATTCATATGCTATGCTCATTATACTAAGCTTGGAAAAAAGCATGCCCATCCTTAAACTATAGATCCTATAGTGTAGTCTCTGGGCCAATGGTGACCCTTAGAAGTTATGAACCACTGTAAATTTTATTTGTCGCAGAGTTGACGCCTTATTGTGATGGCATCTCTCTCCTTAAGAGAGAGAGAAGTATTTCCTGTGTTGTCTTCTGTTCCAGACATCACAACAGACTAAACCTTCCTAACACTGCCAAATCCAGCTTGTCACAAAATATGAGCCTCACAGTTGAAAAAACAAAATAGACTCTCTACAACTTAACTAACAGTGTTTGATGTTTATGTTTGTCCTGCGCAGCCTTCAGTCATATGCTGAGTCTATGAAATAGGAATTTATTTTTTTTGTGTGTGTTGTGCCAAGACGAGCTGTGGGTTGCTGGTGATGCATGAAATTAATTTTCTTTAAAAAATGCTTTCTTTCTTAGATTATACAATCACATTCAGCTGTCAAGTAACTTGATGTCTGGCTGTGACTACTCTTTATTTAAGGTAAGAAGTGCTTTTGTCCCTTTCAGTACGTGCAGTATCCCCATGTAAAATGACATTTTTCTGGTATTTCCTATTCTCTGCTTAACAAAAGTTGTTTTAGTAAACACTGAAAGTGGACCCCACCTATCGAATAATCAGAATGGAAAGGAGCATCTTCTGCATTAGGCTGACAAATGGCATAGTCCGTGTGCATTGACTGGTTTATTTCAGCTTTTCAGTTTATTGAAATGCTTCATCCAGTGTTTAACAGAAAAACCTTCCAAAATTTAAAATCCCACAATAGAGTATGTTGTTTTTTGTTTTTTGTTTTTGTCTTTTTTCCTCTCCCTGCTGTCATAGATGAGGATAGTTGTGAGCATACAAGTGTCTCAGTAATTCAGCTTTGTGTGACTTTAGTTAATACATTAGTTGTCTGTTAATGTATTAATTTCTTGATGACTTGTTTGCAACAGTGATGTATATGGTGTGGGCTTGTGTTTGAATACAGGATGGGATTGAGCCCATGTGGGAAGATGAAAGGAACCGGCGAGGCGGCCGCTGGCTGATAACTCTGTCCAAGCAGCAACGTAAAGTAGACCTGGATCGGTTCTGGTTGGAGACGGTATGTTGCGCCCTCTTGTATTTTTGGTTGCTCTAACAGAGTCATCATTCTTCTCATCTATTGGCCTTGTACACTGTGTATGTTTTGACACATGGCAATAGGAATGTACAGTGTAAATGGGTGTAGATAAAAGGATGAATTCCATGTAGCAGTCTTAGCAAACCACAACTGTGACAAGCCAGTGAATGCTAAGTACACAACATTTCAGGTACTAACTGCATGTAAAACAAAAACATGTGTCCACAATAACAAATCTTTTAAAAATTCATATTTTCCTGCAGCTCCTGTGTCTTGTTGGAGAAGCTTTTGACGACTACAGTGACGATGTTTGTGGAGCTGTCATTAATGTTAGAGCCAAAGGTGATAAGATGGCTATATGGACTACAGACTATGAAAATAAAGAGGCCATCACACACATAGGGTAAGTTGAAAATGCCACAATTAAAGATGAGGAAAAAAATCTGAGCACATTAGATGCTGTTGTGCAAGTTTTTGTTCTTTTTTGTCTTTTCTCTCTTCTGTCTAGAAGTATGATTCAGAATGCTCTGTAGTATCATATAGTATTAGTCTTGGAGTAAGAAGCCTGTTACAGGAAGATATAACAATTTTATTTTATTTATTTTTTTAAATGACTGAGTTTGTCTCATAGCTACTATGTAAAATGTCTTTGCTTTTTTAGGCGTGTGTATAAAGAAAGGCTAGGCGTCCCACCAAAAGTGATCATTGGTTACCAGTCACATGCAGACACGGCCACAAAGAGTGGCTCAACAACCAAGAACAAGTTTGTTGCCTGAGGATCCAAGGATTATCAACCAAGCCTTCCTGTGTTTCCAAATAATTTTTTTTTTTTTTTCTTTTTTAAATTGAATGTAACTTCGATCTTTTGGAAAACATTGGGGGGAAAAGGGATAAAATTTGCTTTTTTTTTTTTTCTCTTTTTTTGTCACTTATCACATGTTTGGGACACTTAAGGAGACTGTGATAAAGATGCCTTTTTTCCCATTTGGTTCTCAATAATTTGGTGTATTTTTAGCTTTTTTTTTTTTTTTGTTAAAGTACTCAACATTAAAGGCATATAAAATAAAAACATGTAGTTTAATAAACTGGTACTGTACTCCTGTAGCAAATTTCCAGTAACGGCATAGGGATTTAAAATGTTTACATTGGAATTAAAATTAAACAAATCCAAGTAATGCGTTGACTTCAGAGGCTACTCACTGTAGAAGCAAGGCAATGCTGACATCGTTGCCGTTGACCCACTTTGGGTGTCACTAAAGTCAGTTTTTTGTTTTGTTTTTTTTGGGGTGGGAGCGGGTTCATGTAAGTTTCTAAAGAGTTAAAACTTCACATCTCTGTAATGACATCAACATCAGTGTTCCATGATAGATAAAATTTATTTTCTTTGGCCAAAGTATGTGTTCGGTGCATGTGTTTTCCAAAACATGCGTGTTATACAGCATTTGTTTCTAGAACATGGTTAAGCTTTGTTAAACAATGCAAACAGTTATTTCCATGCCACATTTTTGTGACAAAATGAATATTGTTGGATGAAACGGTGCCTTTAATGTAAATCCCTGCCTGGTATTTCTGAAATGTACAGAGCGGCAATGTAAATAAACTTGTACAGTGGCTTTTTTTTTTGTCAACATGGTGTGCTATAAACTTGTCAGAAAATGTTTTAAAGCCTCTACAAAGCACTCAACAGTGGGTTAGGAGAAGTTACTTTTTTTTTCTGCATTGCAAATGTCTGTTATGAAAGAAACTGATTTCAGGGGAAAAAAAAAAGGTTTGATTCTTGTGTCCAAACTTAACTTTGCTGCTTCATGACGTTCTTTTTTTTTTTTTTTGGCATGGCATTCATTCATTGAGGAAAGACTTGTGCTTTATTTTTTATTTATTTTAATATTTATTTTTTTAGAGACGCACTACTAAAATGCTTTCAGCCTTAAATAGTGTTTTATGAGGGTTTTTCTTTAATCCTATGATACCCTGTTCACTATTTAAAAAAATAAATAAATAAATAAATAAAATAATAATCACATAACTTTTCTGAAATCCTCAGACTCGGTATCCTAGCATTAGGATAAGACATTGTGAAAACAAGGTTTGATATTTTGCTCTTCAATAATTAAAGGTTTACACGAAGCAGCTGTAAGTGATGATCATCATAAAGTTGCCCCTGTTTCTTTCTCGAGCATTGTAGGGTTTGTGTTCCAATTTTGTTTGCTGGCTTTATAACTACAGTATATTGAGGAAGATTAAGCGGTTTCAGTGGGAACCGCTGCATCACTAATTTATGGTACGTGCCTTTATTAGGCTGCACAAATTGCAGTTTAAGGGGGTTTTAAGTAATCTATGACATCAATTGACTGTTACTTTAGAGCAACAGCAGCTTAGCCCCTTCTGTCCATTTGAAATAAGCATCCTTGTAATTGACACAATCTATCTGGTCACGTTTTCACACGTGACAACTTGGAGGAAATTAGAAGAGAGCTACAGGAAAGTCTCTTGAGGTTATAAGAAAAAGCTTTACCTCATCAAAAGTATTCCTTGTTGAAAGCTTTGGAGCATTTTCATTTTGCTCCCTGGTAGATATTCAAAACATTATTTGTTGATGTTGAACAAGTGAAGATAATTGAACACATTAAATCTCTCTGCTTTAATGCAGACCAGAGTGACTAGTAAATGTTCTGCAGTTACAAGGCACTGTTAAATGTTAGCTGTGTTCTACAAAGCCCTTGACATTATGCTTCTTTTCCACTCATTCACATGCTTACACCAATAGCAACAGAGCTGCCATGAGTGCTGCTCACCACTGGGAGAAACTGCAGGATCATGGTCTTGCTCAGTGGTACTTGAGCACATGAAAGGGGCAGGGTATCAAACTGCTAACACTGCAATTAGTGGTTAGCTTGTTCTACAGTCTTTATATTTCATATATTTGCAATGCAGACAAAATACATATGGCCCCATGAATCATGTCTAACCTCATACCTCAACCTTTGGATGGTGTCACCTTGGACTCTACTGCTACTCCAGTACTGCCATTTTGGACCAGGTTATGTCCTTAAGCTTACACACTACACAAACTACTACTACTACTGCTTTCCCCAAGTCTGTGCAGGGCTGACAAAATATTGTTTGTATCTGACTGACACTAAAAAAAACTAGTGCATGGATTTACTTCCAGGGTGGACACACAGAGTAATTTCATACTGTCAAGTTGTCCTAAAAACTCCTTGCGGCAAGAGTTCTGACAAGGCACTCAAAAAATAGATATGTCTTCTCCAGTATTAGCTTCAGTGGCTTCAATTTTAATCCAGAATGGAATTTAAAATCATCTTCATATACAAAGTGCTGAATGATTAGGCCCCGTCATATCTTAAAGAGTTCATATTACCTCATTATCCCCATTTGGGAGACAGACACCCTCTCTACTTTTAAGATTAGACTTAAAACGTCCCTTTTTGATAAAGCTTATAATTAGGGTTGGAACCTGATTAAATTCTTGTGATGTTACAGGCTCAAGCTTCTGGCGGACCTCCTATGATACACGGAGCAGTTCTCCACGTCCCTCTTTTCATGTCCTATTTGTTTTCATACCACATCAACTTTTGTCTGCTCTCTTCCTTAGTTAACTATAGGCATAGCCTAGTCACCTGACGTTCCCCTCACCCTTCAACCAGTTGCACTAGATGTCTGCTACTCCTTGAGTCGGCTTCTACCTGAAGTTTCTTCTTTAAAGGAAGTTCTTTCTCCCCACTGTTGCCAAGCCATTGCAATTTATTTCCAATATATTAAACTATTGTAAACTCCATTCTTATACTCATGGCAAGCTGTGAGTGTGGCACAATAAGCTCTGGTTTTATTGTGTAGTTTTGAAAGAAAATGGTGGATTGGTTGAAGATCTTGTCATAAGACATTGAGTCAAAAGTTTTATAGGCGACTTTGCATTAGTTTAAATGATATCCAACTGCATTTCCCCATGTTGGATAGATTCAGATAGCAATGTCAGCCTTTGCAACTATACCAAAAGATTGCTCAATTTACTAATATCCCACTCTTTAATGTAATGCTGCAGTTATCATAAGTACTAATCAATATAACTGCCTATATAACTGTTTTTATAGCCAGTTATATCAGGTCATATAAATGCATTTTTAGGTGCACTAAATGGAGCTTATGCGTATGTTCAATAAAAAGAATCTGTATTCATTCATCTGCCTGGATTCCTGGGTGTTCAGGCTGCTAATCTATTCTTTACATCACTTCCGCTTCCCCACACTGTCAGACTTGTTGTCTGATCCAATCAATTTCTTGCCCACCTTCTGCAAGTCAATCCACCTCTCTTCTGTGTGCTTTAAATCTCAGTGCTCTTCTGTCATTCTGTAAGACTCTCATTAGTGCAACCCACCTAGAGATCTTCCTTCACCTGCTTCATCTCTGACATCACCAGCATTTTGACTCCGGCAGTCCTGTCCTATTTCCTACCATCATTAGACTCCACTCTGCAATGTAGATATCAATGAACCATTTTGACTTCCTCCAAATGATTCCTTCTTCTCAGATGCTGTTCTTGTATTACTGATCAGTGAGATCATTTTCCTTTTTAGTGTATAAAGGTGTGTCTTTCTTTGCTTGCGCCTCCATCGCACAATCCAAAGACAAGCATGTTACATTGATTGTTGATTCTGTAGGTGTGGCTGTGAATGCTGTCTTGCTTATAATGTTTGCCTGTGATAGACTTGTGAACAAATACTGAGTTTACCACACTCAGTGTCACTGCCTCTGACTCAGTGCCAGCAGGGATAGGATGGATGGATGGATGGATGGGATTTAATTGTCTCTTTGGATAGGCAAAACTATGATACAGCATCCAATAAAATCTCAAATAAGATATATTTCTTTATTTTATCAAACATGTCCCATTGTTTTTAACTTATTATTATATATCTGTTGCCACCGGGATGTCTGCCTTTCCTTTATTTTAATAATTTCAAAGCAAATAAGATGCCTGACGCTGCATTATGATCATCTGTTAGCATATTTAGTGCGAGTTTGTGCAACCTGCTTTTCTTCATATGCCTTTTTAGCTGATTAGCACCTCTTGTGCTCCTCTTGTTTACACAGCTGACACCTGAGGTCTGTGGATTTCATGTCTCTGATGCCTTGACAGATGGAATTGCTAATCTGATCTGACACCTAAAATTGACAGTCACAACATTAATGTGCTTCCCATGAAAATCAGGTGCAAATTAAACAGGAGTAACGTATATTTCCCTTCTTTTTTTTCGATTTGTATTTTTAAATTTTGAGGATCCTGTTATGATTCTTAGAAAATGCTGGAAATATTATTCATGTCTTATCTATCTATCTATCTATCTATCTATCTATCTATCTATCTATCTATCTATCTATCTATCTATCTATCTATCTATCTATCTATCTATCTATCTAT